CTTTGAAAAAGCAAAACTGAAACATGTGGTAAATATTTATAGATAAATATGTGTACGTATATATATATATATATGAATATGTGCAATTTTCTATATGAGAGGATATTAAGTAAAACGTTAAATATTCTTTTGAAGTTTCGATAACTATACCGCGCGTAAAATGCTTTTAAATGCGAAGAAGAAGAGAAATCTTTACATATACATCTGTACGTACATACGTACACATACTTGAATAACAATTCAAATGCTTTCTGCAAGTAGCAAAGCTATATATATTACATATCACACACACACACACACACACATGTATATATATATATATATAAAATTTCCCTTATAAAATACAAACCGAATTTTCCGCCATTTCTCTCTACCCATTCATTCATTATAAAATAGAAACTTACATGTTCTGCTCTTTACTTAACGTTTCTTTTAATATCGCAACAGATTTTGTTGATTGTCTTCTTCTTCTACTTTTACTTCTATGTATTCAGCCGCGCGGGGAGCAGCGAAGAAAATATATATATATATATAAATGAACGAAGAAAGGAGAGAAAAACATTTTTCAGTTCATCGCGCGAATGTTTAATCGATAAAGTAAATGTGAATCTCCTTTTTCGAGTTATTACGAACAAATAGAATTTTTTTCTCTTTATTTTTTTTATATATATTTATGAGCACGTATATGTCTGTACACGTATATGTATATGTATAAGTGTATGTTAACCAGCTCGTAGTTATTACTGTTGTTCTTCCTTTTCTTTTTATTGTTATTATAATAGATATCCTTACATATATCCTTGTTATTGTTATGATTATAGTGAACATAGTTAGTTGACGTACTTAAAAGAAGGCTTCTTAACACTCACTACATATGCATATGTAAACATAAATACATTGAAAATTTGTCCAACATTTACACATTTTTATACTCATCAGGTATATTTATTTTGTCAACACGTTTGCAATGCCCAGGAGGAAGCTTCAGAAATCACGCAAAGTATGTTAGTCCGTCTGGGTATATGTCCATCGGTCTTGGTCACAAAAATGAAGCTGAATCGACTTCAAATTCGTCAGATTTGAAATTCTTGTACGCAAGTTCTTCTACGCAAAATGCGCCAAATCCGCCGAAGGACAGTAGTAAGTAAACTGGGGTCACCGGTGTTTTTCAAAAATAATACAAAATTGTTTTTTTTGCTCATTACTCATAAAATACAGCAAATAAATCTGAACGAATTCGAACCTGTATTCTATGGGCGATATCGTAGGACCTTTGCACAAATGAAAATAATCGCCCGCGCCTACTTGGTTTTATAGTGCGCCATAAATTCATTTTTTGTCCAAAGCTTTAGAATGTCCACAGGAGTAAGCTTCAAACACCCCATAAAGTGTGCACCTAAATATATCCGCCCATTTATATGTTCATCTGTCCGTCTGCCCAATTGTGTAGTGTCTGTGGCGAAAATTCCTCTGTTCGTAAAGATGAAGATATTGCTGAGGAACTTGAAAAAGAATTTTAGAAGAACCCAAGGTTTTCAAAACGACTCACCTACAACGCGTCTTCACGCCTATATCACAAGTATGATATGTGAACTCTATTGCCTGTTAAACATAAAGTATAATACATTTATCGCATAATTTTTACTTTTTTTTGAAAATTGAAAAAATCGGCCGCGCACAACGAATGTTATGTAGAGTAAGAAAACTTTTTTCTTCTCCTTTTTCTTTCGGATCGTGGTGACGGGTGTAAGAGATTCGGTCACGATCGAATATAATTTTCTTGTTCCTCTCCACACAAATACCTAAGAGACCTAGCTACGATTGTTTTTTTTTTTTGGTTAGTGCAACTTATAGTGAAAGTCTACCTGAACTTCAGAACAACCATTAAATCATATGCTGGACTATCTTGTCTTGCGTTTTGCCATCTCTGTAACAATTAAGATCGAGGTATGAGGAAATCAATGACGACAATCAATTATAGGAATTCCTTAACCCTTTAACGAAGGGATATATTTTTCCCCATTTTCAAATGACTGATTGTCATATTTAACCCTAACCTCATCTACATTTTCTTATAAAAAAGTATCAAAACGGAATACAATTACGTAAACGAAAACGTTTAGAAAGAAAAGATGGCTTAAAGGGTTAAAAATCATTTCTTCGATTCAAAGTAAAAATTTTTATTATTCCGCTGGCGAAGATTGGGTTTATGTACGCATACGACAATCATTTGTTACTTTACAGCAGCTGACGGCAACTTTGTATGTATGGCCAGTTGTTATCATTAGAGAAATAAAGCATTTTTCTCACTAACACTTTTGTGCTATGCGGCGAATAAACGCAAGAATACAAAATTGTTTCGGTAAAAACTCCTTGATATCAAATGAACCTTTCGAAGGTGTAAACTCACCATACAAGATAATAATCGGAATTCATTGGGAACTCATGGTAACTCATTCTTGGAAAACTTTACAATTTTTCCAATTATTCATATATGAGGAATCGATAAATTTCATTGTTAAAAAAAATTAAAAAAAAAACTTAATAATATTAATTCTAAAGCTGAGAGAGAGAGAGAGACAGATGTATTGCATTGTCTTTAAAAAATTAATAAAAAGTTTATTTTAACGAAATAAATGCGATTTTTTATTGTTTTTTTATATATTTCAAGAGCGAAGTTAGGCATTAGGGAGAAGATGTCTGGTACGCTTGCACCGCCACGAACAACAGCCTGGGCAGTTGCGGACAGGATTCAATAAGTTTACAGCTTGGAAAAGCAAAGCACGTTCAAAGACATTTTCTCTGTGACTCTACTTCTTCTTCATACTCAATCTATGACTGCATATACTGCATATAGTTAGCTTTCAGTGCCTAGGATAATTTCGATCGGAAGGTGTCTTTCGCTAGTTTAGAAGCCATTGTCTAATTGTATTGGCTGAAAACATTGGAATCGTAATAAGTAAGAAAATTATATTCGGTAGTGACCGAATCTTTTATACCCATTCAACTAATGATCCTAAAAAAAAATGAAAAGAATTAAGTTTTCATACTTAATCATATTGAGTGGGCGCGGCTGATGTTTGCGATTATCAGAATAAAAGTGGAAATTTATTTCATTTTTGTTATATAAGCGTGTGGGCGTGTTGGAGGCTCATTTTTGCCAACGGAGGAATGTTTACCACACATAGTGCGCAGTCGCGTAGTCAGATGGACAGATGAACGGACGGACATGCTTTGAAGCTTGCTTCTGTTTTAGAAAAAAAAAAAAAAATGAAATTATGACACAATATAAAATTGAGTAGGCGTGGCTGATTTTGCCCATTTTTCTAAAATCACTAACTCGTAAGAGAAATTCTCTCTGATGAATTCCTTCAGCAAGGATACACATCGGCTAATTGCCCTTAATTTTCCGATCGGGAATAAGGGTTAGATGCGTATTATAATCGATAACCTAATCACAGATTGCTCAGGTAATCTATTCAATCTTAAAAAAGTAATGCGTTGAGTAATGATGAGAATATATATATATTTTCATATAAGGTAATCACTCTTTGAAATCCCGACAACTACATAACCAAGTAGACCGTTAAAATAGAGGCTGTAGTGCCCGCTTCTACGCGTAACGAACAGAGAGAGAGAAAAAAGTTAAAAACCTTAACGCCATAGAACTGCAATAAAAGCGAGCCAAGGTCGTAAGGACAAGGAAATGTGTGAGTGCAAAATTTTATAAGGAAAGTTTTCTATGGCTAGTGGATCCAAATCATTTTCAATAGCCTTCGTCTTCAAGCGCAAAGCAAGACCACGCACTAAATTGCATGAAAATAACGCAAAGATTGCAAACAGTAGGTTGTACTTGAGAAAACTTGATAGCCAGACACACAGACGCACCGACAAGCTTAGAATCATTTCCTGAAATGATCGGTATAATAAAAGTCCTTCCGGATGTTACATAGATCCATATAAACTTAATATGCTGATATACCACAAGCTCTGTAGGGTATAAAATTAATTTTTCCATATTTGAAGCTCATTGAAGATTAAGCAAGAAAGTGTGAAGAAAGCTTGCCTAGCGTGAACTACCGAAATAGATATCATTATGTGCGTAAGGCGACATGATAGGTTAACATATATATGTAATTTTTAACAATCAAATAATCAGATGACTGCAGGAGGAACGATTAGCTTAGATAGATATATATATATATATGAGTTTTACATCATTTTTCATCTGTTTATTCGTTTTGTGAAGTCAACACAGTTGTGGGACAACCGTCATCATCAATTATTAGCAGAATGTTTACACATACGGAGAGAATGTACGAGTGAAAGAGGAGAAGAGATAAAAAGCGAACAAATCATTATGGAATTGTTACAAGATTGATTTCAACACATCGTATAGGCAGGCATAACACACACACAAAAACACACTCATGCATAATGGGCGAACGCACATACGCATATACGCATATTAACAAGGAGAGGCGCGCGCATTCGAAGCTTTTTGTATTTCGCTATTTGTTTTTTTTTTTTTTGAATATTTTTTTTTTGTTTTTAATCATTACATAAACATAAAACAGCAGGTGGCAACACTGCTTAGAGTAAAATGAAGCAATAAAATGCTGCTCTACACTCAATAATAATACTATGTGTGATCGAGAAGAAGTAAAATAAACTTGAATACATCTCAACAGCAACAACAACAACAAACACAATGATATGCCATTAAACCCGGTAGCCAGAAATTATGCTCAGCAACCCACGCACAATTATAATAAAAACGAAGGAATTGTTGTAATATGCTCAGGTAGAAAGAGTTTAGATAACCATTTTTTTTTTTTTGTTTTTTTTTTCATTTTAATGCAAATCAATAAATAAAAAAGTGTTTTTTTTTTTTTTTTTTTTTTTAATTTGCTTTTATTTCTGTCAGTACACAAGCAAACAAACGTATTGTAAGTTGTTGCAGATTGTAATACATATTGAATTTATTGCTTGTCTCTTACCTTTTGCCATTGCGTCGCCTCCGTTTGGTGGCATAAACGGTGCCCAGTTGGCTCATTGCTAAGGCGGAGTTGCTTATGGACGCCGTTTTGAAGAATGATTTCTTTTTTTTTTTTTCTTGATTTTATTTATTTATATATGAATATATATATATATATATATGCGTGTGTGTATATATATACATATATATATATATCTGTGTATTTTTAAGCCAGGTTTGGTGTGTTGTTTTGAAATCGTTGGATTTTGTTTGTCTGTTGGACTTTTAATTTGAAGGCGTGAGTTTTTTTATTTTTTTATTTATATTTCTTTATATACATATATATATATATATGTATATATTTTTATTTTATGCGCTTATCTCTTAATCTACGTATAGAACTCGGTTCATTTCGTTTGGAAGTTGAAACTTATTTTGCGTTGCCTGTTAGCTGTTGATGCTGTGTATGGGTGTGTGTGTGTGTGTGTGTATGCTTTATTTTGGAATTTTAATTTAAACATTATTAGCTGGAAATTTTTATGTTCACTTTTTTTTCTAACACCATGACTGTCTCGTTAAAAGGATTTTTTCTTCTTCTTTTTTTTTTTTTCTTTTTATTTATTTATTTTTGCTTAATTTAATAGTTGAAGAATTAAAAAAAACAAAAAAAAAAATGTATATGTATTTATAATATTCCTTATTGATTTATTAATATTTTATTGCACAATTTTCTTCTTTTTTTTTGTTGTAATTATATGTTATAAGGATTTTGTTGCAAAGTATTTTTAAGTTTTCTCTGAAACGAAATTTCTTTTATCAATTCTCTAAACGATAATATAAATGATAAAGTGAAACAAGAAACAAAAGCAGGGAGAGAGAGAGAGAGGGGGAGAGAGAAAGAGAGGCGGAAGTCTCTTTAAATAGAAAACCATTTCAAAACAACATGAACTTAAACAAGATATATTCAAATCTAAGCGAAGAGTCTTCGTGGACTTGTCTATAGTTCTTGATATCGCGATAAGCCTCAGCTTTGCAATTAAAAGATTTTCCATGGGATGATATGAAAAGTGACTAACTTATCGATAGCTGCACACTCTCTATTCATTATCGCGAGTCGATAATCAACAGCTATCGCGAACCACAAAGTGAAACCAAGGACGTTAGCCAATCTTATGTGCTTCCCTAAGGTGCAGGTATGCTTATGACAAGAGAGCTCCACAAATTAAGTCCTTTTTTTTTGTCGTCTGCATGCCCTGGGCCTGTGCGTATGATCTACACTCTTTTATTCTTTAAACGCTCTGCTGACCTTTAGAAGATGACATTTGGAGTCATGTTTCCCACTCTTTTAAAATTCACAGTCACAACGTCACACTCACTTTCACACTCAATTCACAGATGCATTATCGATCATTTGCAACCGCACGACCAGTTCTTCCAAATGCTTATGTCAATCAAAGTATGCCGTTTCTGATGACTTTGCTTTTTTTTATCGATAGACGCGACAAAAATTGCAACAAAACAGAGGTAGACATATGCGTACACATACACACACACACAGCAGAGAAGAAGGAGTACAAGCCGATAGTGTATTCCACTAAGAGGCGCAACCAGCTTCGTCGAGGCAATATCTGACGTTGGTCCCGCGGAGGAAAGTAATTTGTGTGCGGCGGCTAGTTTTAGCACGTATGTGCCATGGGTGACGAAGGGTGCATGCTGCTTACATGGGCAAGTTGCGTTTTCGCAAGATTTCTGTCTTCACCTCGCTTAGCAAAAAAAAAAAAAAAACATGCACACACCCACACATATACTATGTTCATAACAAACATTGGACATTGACCGGTGTGAACTCGTAGCGCGCAGATGTTTTTGCCAACGGCTAGCTCTCGTCCTAATGGATTGCGTTTGAGAAAATACAGTTTTTGAGAGTGTTTTTGATGGAAAATAGCACAAGAAATGCGAGCAATCCCTTCTAAACGATTTCATGCTAAATAACGTAAACAAATACATTGAAAAGGAACAGATCTCTATAAATCATTTTCATTCAAGCAATTGACACTGAAGGATCAGCTATAGATTCCAAACTATTTGACAATGAATTTTGCGAATATGCCGGCAAAGCCAGAACGTTTCGTGTTCCAGATAACGAACGATAAGTATTGAACTAAACAGCAACAGTAAACAGCCTTAAGGTAATAATCAAAAAGTAGAATTCATCCAAATTTTTAGCCAGATTTTAAGTAAAATGACGGCGGCCTTACAAGTCATAAGCATTTTTACATCCATCACGGAGGATGGATGTTTGCAACGCTTAACAAGAAGCCTCAGAGACTCCATAAAGAACATATATGTATATATTTGATTCAATTCTAAACCGATTTAAGTGTGATCCTCTATCTGTCTGCCTGTCTGGCAGCAAACTTCAAAATATCCATAAAGAATTTTTATTCTTGATCAGTATGAAAACGACCATCTGTCTGTCTATCCGTCCGCATTATGAATCCTCCAAGATCTCATATAGTCTCTACATGCATATATTATTGATCAGCATAGAATTCTAAGCCAGTTCTTTCCGTGTGTTTATCTGTGTAATGAGCGGCGGCAGGAAGCTTCAGAGACCCCATAAAATATATAATATTCTTGAATGGAACTTTTTCCCCTATATTCTAAAATGTCCAAAGCATCTTGCGGCTTAGCCACAAATGCAAAAAGTATTTTTTGGAAAATTTTGCACAGATATTACTCCTTCAGGAATGACATAGACATGTTCGACGAATCAAATAAAAAACTTTCCGGTACGCATCACCGCACAAAATCACAACCGTGTAAATGGCAAAAACCAAACGATGATAAATACAATCCTTCGTCCCGTAAACAGCTCCTTGCTAAACGCATTCCCAACTCCATATTTTCATATTTTACGTTCAAAAGAAAGGCAAAGACTGCTCTACTGTTCAAAGAGAAAGCTTCTTTTAAACCTCGATTTAGTTAACTTGTATCGAATTCTAGACACTTGATCATTCATAGAAACGTTAGTAACAGCAACTGAGTTGCTTTTGCTGAATGATTTGATTCGGACTCTCGAGCTTAAGATTTTAATAGCTACGTATTGCTGCTTGGGCACAGAAATCGTTGCCCGAGTCTTAAGCCCGTTCATATGCTTTTTAACGTAATTAATTTAATAAAACTTGAAGCGAATTGTTGAGGTGGAAGACCGCATTCAATCTGATACTCTTTAGTTCAGTTTTTGCCCAGCGGAGATACCAAGGTTATCGTAACCTTACCTTAGTTATCGTAACTGCCTCTCGATTGCCTGATAATTCTATTACATGTGTTCTGCAGCAACGGAAGACGATTGAAAAGAAAGATTTTAAGTAGATTTGGTTTTTTTATCATTTAGAACGTGAGGTTTGCATTGAAGCTGATGAGACGACAGCTTTTTATAAACAAAGATCTTACTCTCCTTGCATACGCTTCTGTTACCAAAAGAGAGCAAAGATCCCACTGCTGTGCAAACTCTTCTGTTATTGAAAAATGCAAAGGAAGAGCTCTACTCCGCTTAGCGCATATGTGAACTATTACTTTGATGCTTAGCACAAGAAGCTGACGCGGGGTAGCAAAATTTCTCGGTTTTCTCGGAACGGCTGCCTGAAAACTTCCACTTTAATCCTATAAAATATTCTGGTCAAGTATTTGCTATCTTTTCGCTTAAAACTTGCAGATGGCTTTCTGTTACATACTTAGTACGACCTAGACTGGTATACGACTCGATTGTATGGTCACCTTGGTATGTCAATTCTTTCTGGTTTTCCCAGAAGTCATTTCCGCTTTTTACACTAAGATGTTTTAACTTGAGATCCGGGAGTCCCTTTACCATCTTATGAAAATAGATGAGCATTTATATCTTTGCCGTCGCATCTTCATGGTAAAGTTGATAAAAGTTGGTGTCCATGACTCGTTTATCTTATGAATGTTCCCATATAACACTTAGTCAATGCACGTTCAATTTAGGATCCTCCGTAAAAATTCTTTCCTTTAAATCTCGGGTCCGTTTAACATTCCGTTACTTGCCGAAAGCGAGAGTTAAACGAAAATTTAAAATTTTACTATTGAGCTATGCTCCGCCGATATACTAAATAATGTCAGTTGACAAGAGTGTGGTTGAGCTAGATGAGTAAGCAACTAAGTTATGCCTTGAATTTTAGAATCTGTGGAAATCAGTAGCATTTACAATCTAACTGAATAAATATCCAAGTCTCCTAAGTTACTAATAGCGCGCATATTTATCCCAAATATTTAATCATAAATGATGCTATATATGTATTTTCAACTACAATCCCTCAGTCTCTCAGGGCATGTCGCCTATAGGCGCAATATACTGATGGTCTTCGAAGAAGTGCAAACAGAGAGAGAGAGAGAGAGAGAGAGATAGGAATTGGCCGCGGGCTGGAAGATGTATTTCTCCGTAAGTAATCGTTCTGCGTTTATCAGTCGAGCTTTCACTGCAATTGCGATCGCATATTAATTGTAATTGAAGTGCGTGGTTTACCGCACGGAGAATAAAACCCAGATATATCGATTTGTCAGTCGCGCTTCTTAACGGGTTACCTATAGGATAAACCGCACAGCAGATGGATAGATAGACTTTTTTATTTGCAAAAGAGGGAAAAAAAAGTGTAGTCTTCTTATTCAGAGTAACGTTATAAGGAGGTGATTGTGTGGCTCACCACATTACCACTGACTGTGCTCTGGAAGGTTAAGGGCTAGAAGTGGTTCTAGAAAGCTTATACCTTCGACTTGAAGCAAAATTTCTAATGCTGATGATGATGGTAGGGGATAAACTGCTTTCCCTTCGCTGTTAAATTTCTATATAACGTAAACAGCTCTCTCCAGCTTATCTCCAGAAGAGTCAAGCAAGAATCAATTTTTTATGGGAATAATAATAATAATAAACGCTGGCTTCTTCAGGAGTTGGAAAAAATAAAAAAAAAAACATTACATCAACTGGCTTACATCGGGATAGTATAAAATATTTCTTTTGCTTTTTTTTTTTTTTGTATTCGGCAAACTATCGTAGATTCGATGAAACCTAAGAAAGCGCCATAAAGCCTGAAACGTCCTTGATTCAGGAAAA